TTGTTAGTTTATTGGGAAGTTTTCCCCTCAACTTTTTCACCAACTTGGTTGTGGTTGATAAATACATGTACAGTTATGTTAATTGTACGTGCAACAAACACTGTCACTTTCTAGAAGATGAATTTTCTTTAAAATAAAGTTAATTCTACTTGATTTGAACTAGAGGATTTAGATCAACTAATTATACAGCTTAAATTTGTAATGGACGTAAGTTTTTAAAGATTTAACAGATTATCAGCAAAACATTTGTCTTTTATTTGAGTCAGTGTCCCTCTCCTCTGATACAATGGACGCTTCTGTTTGACTTGAGCTACAAAACAGTCTGAAAAACCTGAAACACACAGAAAATGAAGTGTGTTGTAAGTGTTCGTATGGTGTTTTCTCCAGTTTCTGACACAAGTATATGATATAATTATATATAATTAAAAAAACAGAACGTGGCAGTTTGTGTTCCAGCATTAAGATTTCAAGATGTTTTTGTTTTGCCTCCACAGATTTCAGCAGAAATGTGAATAGTCGGGCACGCTGTTTAACCCTTCCTTTTATGTTTTCCATACAGACCTTTGACATGTTTATCAGCCACTACAGCAGCTTGACTGCGGCACCGTGTGTACACATCTACAAGCTGATGGGCTCAGACAGCGACCCGCTGCACAAAGAGCCTCAGTTCTGGGCGAGCATGATGGAGTCTTCTGGTAAAACAAACTTGTAACTGTTTATAACAGATTGTATTGTTTTATCACCTGTTTTAAGATGACACTCGTATCATAAAATGGGCTTTAATTACATATCTTAATTTTATATCTGTTGTTTATTACCCAGGTTTCCCATCCGACTGCACTCCTCCAGAGATCTTTAGCTTCACAGGGAAGTCGGGCTTCGAGCTGTACGGCATGTTGTACAAACCACACAACCTGGTCCCTGGCAGGAAGCATCCCACCGTTATCTTTGTCTACGGCGGTCCGCAGGTTGGATCTCTTCCACTGTTACATTAGATTCATGTCATGTAAACTGTAAAAGCTAAAAAAAAACTACGAATCTGTCTTGTCAACTAAAAACCTGAAAACATCGGATGGGTACAAAGAACCACAGGTGAATTTTAACCAGTCAGATCAATGAACCATATAATGTATTGGAAGAAGTCGGGAGAAGAGAAAAGCCTTCAGTTCTGTTCTTTACTGTCCAGGTCTGATATAACTGATGCCTCAGCATGTCACTTCTCATACACACCTAGTAGCTCATGCTATAGCTGCCAGTAGTTCCTCAAAGGACGCTGATTGGTCCAAACCACTGTGGTTGGACACAAGCTCATTTCTTGAAGCCCGGCAAGACTCGCGCTTGATCGCTGTGATCTCGTGAGTCAAGCTGCTGAGCGAAGGTTATCAACTGAATGATGAGCAGAAAATATGGATTTGGTTTTGAGACGGGGACATTTTGGTGTTTGATCTTAACTTTTGAATGTTGTAGTGTAAGAAAAACTTTGCTTGTGGACAGTTCGAAAGGACGTAAAACTGCAACAGGATTCAAACTTGTGACTGAGTTGATGTCAAAGTTAAATAGTTAAAACTTACTAGTTAAAGTATCTTTTAGGCCAAATGACATTTCTTATAAACACATTGTCCTTCCTTCCAGGTCCAGTTAGTGAATAACTCTTATAAAGGAGTGAAATACCTGCGGCTGAGCACGCTGGCGTCTCTGGGCTACGTTGTATTGGTGATCGATGGGCGGGGCTCCTGTCAGCGGGGACTCAAGTTTGAAGGAGCTGTGAAGGACAAAATGGTAAATTATAAAGTAGTTATTGTGTCTGCTTCAGGAACTGATGATGAATTATACAAACAGACTCCTGTAGAGTGTTTGTTGACACTGTTTATTGTCTTCATAGAAGAATTAATTAATCTACTGATGTTGGTGTTTTATGGCTTTGTTACTATATGTATTTCACTTCGTCAGCCTTTTGTAATCTGTAGATAATTAACTATGTAAATTGTTAGTGAACGAGTGTTGATGCCGGCTGAGTTTACCTCTCTGTTCTCCTCCGATCAGGGTCAGGTGGAGATTGACGACCAGGTGGAGGGTTTGCACTACATAGCTGACAAGTACAAGTTTGTGGACCTGAGTCGCGTCGCCATCCACGGCTGGTCGTACGGAGGCTTCCTGTCTCTCATGGGCCTCATCCACAAACCCGACATCTTCAAGGTCAAAACCACTAACGTTACCTCTCTTATTGTGCTGAACTGGAGCTGGAATAGTTACTTTAGTTAGCTTTTCTACCTCATTTTAACTTCAGTGAGCTCCGCTGTATTTACTGTTATTTTAAAACGGCTTCATGTATCTCGTGATATTTCCGAATAGTCTGTTTAACAAAAGAAATTAAAAATGCTTCTTTTTTATTGGCTGGCAGGTTGGCATTGCAGGAGCTCCAGTGACGTTGTGGATGGCCTACGACACCGGATACACAGAGCGATATTTGGACACACCTGACAAAAACCAGAAGGGATACGAGGCTTGTTCTGTCGCCCTGCATGTCGACAAACTCCCCAATGAGTGAGAGCGCTTGTTTTTGTTTGTGTAGTATTTACGCTCACAATGTGTTACCATTCTGCTGCTATGTGCATCAGACAACTGTGAGAGAAAAGGCCGCTATTTACTTCATATTTACCTCGCTATACTCTCCGTTACCTTTTGTTATCTACCTTTTTATTTAGGTAGAAGTTTGAAGATTGTAGAGGTCGAAGTGTAAAATTAGATTCTAGTCCGTTCTTTCCTGTTAGTATTTAAATACTTAAATCATTCATTCATTTCACATTCAATATAGAATCCAAAATCTAAATTATGTTATTTTATGAATCCAACACAAAAAAAAAAAATAGATCATTTTCCGTACTTTCGATTTTATGCTTAAATAAGGAATAAAAATAGGAAATGAAAGCAAATATGCTTGGGTGATGGTTCAACTTGATTTTAATGTAATGAATATAAACTAAAACATCAGTATAAGGTTGTTTTTTGTTTGTATTTTGAGAAATGTTTCGTTAAAAGTCCTCACTTGTGTGAAAAGATAAACAACAAACAGGGAGTATAATGTTGCCGTGGATGCAGTGAAATTAAACCTGAAAATGAAGATTTCTGAATTAACAATTAACAGTTAATTTTTTGTTGTGTACTGGCAACTATCACTGAATGACTTTAATACTGAAGAAATCTTAAAAACTGAACTCTCTGAAGTTACACAGTGAGCTTTTATTTTCTAAAATATTACTAATTCTTAATACAGCAATTTTCTGATCTCAATAATCAGACACATTATAATATTTTTTAATTTCATCGAAAAGTCAGAAAAACACAAGCGTGTGTTTGATTCATGAATTAATAATTAATTAAATAACAAATTGTGTTTTAATGTACACATCTTAGAATCTATATCTGATATGAGAAGAACGAATGATGCCCGTTAATTTACTGCTGCTAAGAGATTCTGTCTTTCTGTTAAATTCAGGCCCAACAGATTGCTGATCCTGCACGGGTTTCTAGATGAGAATGTGCACTTTTTCCACACTAACTTCCTGGTGTCTCAACTCATCCGGGCAGGGAAGCCGTACAGCCTGCAGGTAGGAGGATTTACTCACATACACAGAGTTTAATGTGTGATAAAGACGTGAAACAGAGGATGGATGGGTGAAGTTAGAAGAGGTCCAAACTCCAGCAACAGTAGTATAAAGAAGGACTTCACCGTGCGTCCATCAGTGTTTATTATAGAGCACATTTTTAATAAAATAAGTATAAAAGAAAAGAAAACTGTTCTTTTTTGGGTCATTTTTGTTACTTGAACTAAACCAAGACAGCAGCAGGAAGGAAAAACTGCTGCAGTTTTTCCAATATTTTGATCAAGAAAAGTAAATCTACAAACTTAATTGAGAGAATAATTGTCAACCACAAATGCAAATAGTAACATTTGACTTGAGGTTTAAGGGGATGTAAAATGTGAAATGATGAATAAACATGTTTTTTGTCTTTTGGGCTTTTTTTTTTCCAGGTTTATCCCAACGAGCGACACAGCATTCGATGTCCAGAGTCTGGAGAACATTATGAGATTACGCTGCTGCACTTCCTCCAGCAGAACCTCTGATAAGCCTTTTCTACACGCTTATCTTCCCTTCCTCGCTTCCTTCCCTTCTTCTCCCTGTCTCCTCCTCCTCCTCCTCTTTCCTCTTTCCTCCATTTATTTAAACCTCCATCACTTTCTCTCTCGCTTGATTTCACGATATGTTAAAATCAAGCTATGCCAAACCTGAAACCACCTCAAGAGTCTTAAAGGTGCGGAAGCGTTTTAGCATCAGTGAACAACTACAAGGTTGATACTCAGATTTTAGTATTACCACCATAAACGAGACTGAGCGAAGTCTAGTAGTCTTTACATTGTATTTTACATTAGAGGGAAATCTGCTGGATTGCTTTAAGCCCCAAAACAAGCAGATTTCGAAGGCTGAAAACAAATCACAGTGTGACAATGATGTTGTAAAATGCTGCTCGCTGCACCATCGCTGGCATAATGCAAAAAAGTACAGAAGTGGACCTGCTGCCCAGGAGATTTCTCTCTCTTGTCTCTCTTTTTTTTTTTTTTGCAATTTCCTATTTTTTTTTTTATTGAACTCTCACTTTGTTTTTTGGGACCCAACTGATAAAAGTTATCGTTTATGTGTCTGTGAATAAACACTGGAGTGAAATTAGTGAACGTAAAGCTCTTTAAGAGCATTCAAGCAAGCACTTAACCCCCCTTCGTTGTGTACTCTGTAGTCTTTTTGTTTTGTCATGTGCTGTCCTAGATTACTTTTAATGTGGTGTGCCACACTTCTATCTACAGGAAAAAAAAAATTACATGCCACATTTTTATTGTGTATTAAAAAAAAATATTTTTATGGATTCTTATGCATTCATAAATGGTGGAAAAATGTAGCGACCTGTTGCTGTTTCACTCGCTTGCTTTAATTTTCTGGGGTGCTTCTTTTTCTTCTGCTGCTGAGGACTTTTGCACATATTACATATTTGCCTTGGTGCCAACAAACTGATCTATAAGATGATGTATGACAACTGTTGGCAGTCTGAGGTGCCTTGCAAGAGTTTAAGAGCGCTTGCTCGTATAGTAAATATCAGGGAATCTGTCTGAGGACCTACAACAGTTAAATGCCTTGTTACATGTGTGTCTGATGACCATCTGTAAGATGAGCTCTCATGACCTGTACGTGGTTAAATGTACTCTCAGATATTGAAGAAATAAACAGAAGTGAACAATCTTTTTCAAAGTCTTGTCACCAAATGAAATGTATTATTTTTTGTGTTTTTTTTTTTTGTAAAATAAATGTTCAGGCATTTGGTAGATAAACAGTTTTGGGCCTTTTATGTTTGAGTTTAGGGGAAAGGAGGAGATGAAACAGAATTAAACCTTGATTTAGTTGCATCTAGCGGTGAAGTCTGTCCCTTCTCTGCTGCTGTAGAAACATGGCGTCCTCCACAGAAGGCGACCCGCGACGTCTGTATATATAAACGTCTCATTCTAAGGTAACAAAAACACAATAATTCCTATATTCAGGTGATTATTGACGAATGAAAACAACACCATGAATATTATATTCCACTTTCTGACAATTATGGTCTCCTGAATGTTACACTGGACCTTTTAATCAATCATATCACAACAGATTCAGAAGTAAAATGCAAATCTATCTCCTCAGATCACCGATTCAAACGCTCAACAGAAATATGAATGACCTCAATAAAGCTGTAACTGAAACTTTTCTGCCCGAGTCACACCAAAGAGCAAGTCAGCACAGCTATAATATCCTTGCTCTAGAAACATTTGTTTTTATTTACTTACTGTGATGATAAATATTACTCATTAAATATTTACTTGCAAAATATTTTAAGAATTCAATAAAAATTAGTTAATGGAACTACATGTGTGTATAAAGTGCCAAAATAGTAAATTAAAAATGAATTTTTGTATAGTTGTATATTACGTATTCCACAGCACACCATTTGGGAGCCACTGGTCTAAAGCAGCAGTAAGAAGAAGTAAGAAGTAAGTGAGACTTAATACCTTCTTCATATATTTTCTGTAATGTTATAATCCAACTTGCCACTAAATAAATAAATAAATAAAAGATCCATCTGGTTGTGAGAGAGATTGAGTTGTTTGACAGCTGCAGTGTGTTTCATTCTTCCAGCAGGGGGCAGTAGTGCCAAACAAACAAACTCTGGAGATGTTAAAACACAATTAAAGTATATGAGAAGAAAAAGTGTCCACAGAGAGCCAATAACTGAAAATCTGTCCCATTGCATCCATACAAACACACCAACAGCTGTGGTTTATGTTAATTTACTCAACAACAGCGATATAGACTGCAACATTATTTCACATGTTAATGGAGTTGGAACATTTTAGGAATAGAAATTTGATTGCAGTGTGTTTGAGGCAAAGACTGGACTTGACTGAAAAACATTTTCTGTGGTAAGAGAAAGTAGTTTTCTGCTTCACCAATAAAGACATCAGATTATATCCCACACAAGGCCTTATTGATTTTAAGTGGTCAGGGAGAAGAAAAAACAAAAGAAACTTGTAGGTATGTATGATTGTTAAATTAAAAACGTAAACAGATAGAATTGTATAAAAAAAGTTCATAAATATATCAGGAAAACTAATAATCTGAGCAAAATTCATCCAAATCACTTGTTTTACACAAACTTCCTGCAGTTATTGTGTTAAGTATTTGTGTTCATTGTACAGTTTATCAGTTGTTCTGTGTTGTTATTGTTATGCACTGAATATAATATGTAATATCCACTTATGTGTCACTTATTCAGGAGTCGTCAGTTTACTCAATGATAGAAAAGGTGGAGAAACATTGGGAACCACTGAATGAGAACAGCTCAGTGTACATCTACTGTGCTTTAAGCCCTTTACAGAAGCCCTTATTATAAGCTGCTATGCATGAAACAGTTATTTTATGATCTTAATGTGTAAAATGTTTCTTTTTATGGTTTTATTTATGTGTGTAGCTCATTGACAGTATGGGTGTAGTTACACTGTTCGTTCTCAAGCATCAACAAAGATCCAGAATTTATTAAACATTTTTAAAAAACTTTATTTTCATACCAATGAAATATTTTAAGTGTATAAATGTTGAAAATAATACATTATTAAAGTAGACGTGTTCAAAACACAATTTTTACAAAATAAGATTAAGAATTAAAACCCTTATAAAGGGAATAAAGTTAATAAACTGTCAATATGACTGAAAAAGTCCACTGAGACAATGAGTATTCATATAGCATAGCATAGAGACATCTGAGGATGTAGTGATTGATCAGGAGAGATCAATAATCTTCTTTTAACATTTTAAGTTAATGTTTTCTTTGCTCCTCTGCTGTTTGTCCTTGTTGAGGCAGCTTATTGCTTTATTGTGGCGGGTGCGATCTTCAGCAGAGTCGTCTTCACCGAGCTGTTTGGTCCCTTTGTGGATGTCCAAAACATCCCTTGTCTTCTGGACTGCTGTCGCCTGAGCGCGCTCGGCCTTCTGGGATATCTGCCGTTGAGGTTTGACTCACCGCAACTGCTGAACCACCAACCACCTGCAACAAAAGAGCATTTTTGTTTAAATAAAAGCCACTAATTTAAAGTTTAATTCTCATGTTTCCTGGTATGAAGCCACGCAGACAGTTTTTTGTTCTCATACCTGAGAGCAGCTCGGCACAGTTGACGTCTGCAGCGAGGTCGTTGTCTCTGTCAGCCGTGGAAAAAGGAAGACCAGAGGCTCCGGTCGTCATTATTTTCTCCTGAACCTCAGATGAAGACACCTCCTCCAGGTGGAGAGTGAACTTCTGCTCCTCTCCCTCAAGTTGGAATCGATAATGAGCCGCCGACTGCTGCTGCTGCTCTCCCTCCCAATCAGAGAGCTCCACCTGCAGGACGTACTGGCCTTGTTTGGAGAGAGAGTGGATGTTCTCCAAGCCCAACCAGAACTCTCCTGAAGGATGAGAAATGTTCAGATTAGTTTTTTGCCGCTGTTGTTTGAGGTGATGCAGATATTTGATGAGGTTTTTCCAGCTTTCTGTTTTTTGCTGTACTCACCATTCAGGTTGCCGAAGCCTCTCTTATAGTTTTCCCACAACTGATTGAAGTTCTGGGATCCGTCGAGACGTTTCTGGATGACGGTCCATCCACCTTCTGCAGAGAGAGAAGAGAGAGAAACAGTTGAGCTAAAGAGGCTAAAAACACTTTGAGGTTTTACTGTATTGATGCTGTATTGGAAGAGCTGTTTAGATTTGCACATTTCTCCTCTGCTGTTTATTGACACCCAACACCAGGGCTGAGACTCTTCCCTTGCTCAGCTTCCAGCAGTGTAACTGTTTTATATTTGAAACCTGACTCACCTGAAGTCATTTCACAGAGGACGTTGAAGGGCTGGGAGCTCTCTGGTTGGATTGTGTAGACGCCGCTGTCTCGCTGCCCTTGTACAAACAGATCGTGACAGTCTCTGGCCAAACCTAAATAACACACATAAAAAAAAACTCATCAGATCATTGAGGTCTTTGTTCAGACAGTCGGAGGTCAGGTTGGATTTACTACCTTTGCTTCAGTTCAGATTGTGCAACGAGCAAAGCTTAGTGTGTCCCTTGAACATACAGTACAGTAGGTGTGTTTTAAAACTTTGGACCGTATGTGAGCTGCTCTGCCAGCGAGTCGACTATTATAAACTCAGGTGCAAAGGTGAAGTGTGTACTCTTATGTCTCTCAAAATTTCACCTCAAAATACTTCTGTATGTGCGATCTGTGCTGGTTTGTTTCTATACCTCAGTACTTAAGCAGCAAAACCCAGAATAAGAGTGAGAAATGAGGGCAGATGTTACTTTCTGCTGAGTGATGGTTGAAAATGTGCAGCGAGTGGGAGGTGAGCTTTAACTCAACAGTTAATTTTTTCAGCCCATCGAGAGGTCGAACCTCTCACAGCAGCTGCTGGTCAAAGTCTTTTCAAAACCATCACTCACTTAATCTTTGCCCCTCTTCATCACTTATAAACTTTCTTGGGACAGTTTGTTTTCTTACCTGATGTGATTATGCTGTGCTCAGCCTCTCCCCTCAGTGCCGTCTCCTCGTCCCTCCGTCTGTGTGATTTTACTCTCTTATGTCCAACCTGGTGAATCGAAAAACAGCGTTAGGAAACTAAAATCTATCACTTTTCTTTTTCTCTTAAACATCCTGTTGTCTCAGAAATACTGCGTATAGCTCACCTTGCTCTGCAGTGCTTGCAGGTGCAGACTCTGTTTCTCCAGTTTGTCTTGTTGCTGCTTGATTTTCTCCACCAGCTGATCGATGCGTCTGTTCTGAGCCACCACCAGCCTCTGGAAAGAAAATGTAACACGTCAGTTTCACAGCATCGTTGCTTTCCACAGGCACAAACTTCTCCCTCTAGGATGGAGGTATTAAGGTGTTATATAATATACTGTAAGATCAGCTGTTGAAGTCGATTTAAAGGTTTAAATGATGGATGAATAGTCTCTTTCTCTCACCTGGATAAAAGGGACTCCTGTGTCGCTGGAATCACTGTTGTTGCTGTCCACCACTTGCACCTCATCCACCTTCTCCTCCAGTCTGTCCATCCTGGAGTGGAGGTCCTCGCTCTGCTTCTTCGCCTCCTCCACATTTACCTTCACCTCCTCGACCAGCTTTGCTGCCAGCCTCTCCCACTCCTCCACTTCTTTGCTTCTCGCCTTTAGAGCCTCGTCTTGCTCCTGCTGCTTCCTCTCCAGGTCGGCCACTGTGCCGTTGAAGGCTTTTAGTTTGGCAGTGACGTCTCTCATCTGGGCTTTGGTCTTGTCCACGTGCTCCTTCAGACCCTGGCCCAGCTGCAGGAGGCCGTGAGCCACCACGTTCACGTCGTCCCAGGAGGCATGTTTGTCCCTGCTTGGCAGAGCTCTTCTGTCAGTGGGGAAACCGGCTGCTGCGTGCATCAAAATGGTCACCAGGAGGATGAGAAGCTGTGGCATCTTCATCTTTGTGTCTGCTGAGAGTCTAATCTGAATCTGAAATCTGGTTCTGATGTCTCTGTCTCTGTTCTCTGCTGCTGAATGGCATTGTGGGGCTTTTTTATAGCTCAGTGCTGCAGCAGAGGGTTCCTGTGATTGGCTGCTGGAGCTTGGAGGCGGGGAGGAAGAGGAGTCGGGGGGCGTGGAAAGTCTTTCATAGTGGTCATCCTTTTGAGGACTTGTACCATGATGCAATCAGTGGTCTGAATTACTGATTAAACACTGACATGAAATGGATTCTGTTTCCTTTTGAAAGGTCAAACTGAGCTTTTCTAGGAAGCACATTTAGGAACTTTACAAGTCTGCATCTGAGTTTATCCAGTGAAACACAGTTTGGAGGGTTTTTGGTTGGTGAAAATATAAAATTTTTAATAGAAATAAAGTATTTTTTTTCCAGCTCTGCTCCTTGTAGTATCCATTCAAGTACTCAAATATTCTGTTTAGGACTGCAAATAACAATTATTTTCATTATTAATTCATCTGCTGATTCTTTTCTCCATTAAAAGATTAATATTTTTGGTCTTTAAGACATCATAAAACAATGAAAATAACCCATAACAATATCAGGATCCTGTTATTAAATACCTTTTTTTTGTCCGACCAACTTTTCAAAACCCCCAAATACTGAATTTACTAAAGTGAACTTTTACATTTTGTGAACTTGAAACCATTAAATGTTCAAATTATTAAACAAATTCTAGTTCTTTGAACTAATACAAACTATAATTAAATATACATCAACTTTATACCTAAAGAATCCCAATTTTACACACAACACTGTAGATAGACAGATGTTTTATTATAGTCAGCGTTTCCCATATTCTTTATTTTATTCTGGCAGTTGATCCAAAAAGATTGGAGAGTGATAATGACCCTTTGAGTTTAGTATGTTTGTCAAATAAAACCCTCAGAGTTCAATATTGTCTTTCTCTGTGTGTGTGAAGCCTCCAGTTACCGTCTGTCTTCAGCCTGAATCAGGAATGCTAGAGAACATTCAAAGATGGAGGAGTCAGTGTGAGAAGTAGGGGAAAGTTCACCCCTTCAGGTAGTCACACACACACACACACACACACACACAGATGAGAGACGGAGCAGAA